GATAGCAATCCCACATTCAAACTGACCTCCTCTTGAAATAAGTAACTTTCTATATGAAAGATATGACATGCTTGGCAAGAGAATATTCAGACAATTCAATATCCAAGCAAAAGTTCAGAAAGCCATGTTATGCCCCAAAATTTTTCTTTTTAGTCTAAATGCTCTAAGGCTTTTCCCAGAAAATCTGGGATTTGTATTTAGAATGAATTCACATGAAACACTGAAAAGAATTGGTCTTCTGTAGTGGCTCTTAGGTACAGCAGTTCAAGAGACAGAACGTATGGAGAAAACGCTTTCAATGAATCATTCCATCCATGGTGAATCTTGCTCCTGAAATGTGAACAACAACAACAACAAAATTTCCACCGTGCACTACATAAATAAACTAAGAAGTTTCCATAAAAATTCAAGGAGCTTGTTTTGTTCTCTCAGGAATAAATTATCTCCATTGAGTCACATGTTCGGTATTATGGAGAGACACACTTAAGAACATCCTTTCTTGAAGAGAACTTGTATCCTCCACACTTGGCACCTAAGCATATGCGAGTTCACTTTCTGTACCGAATCTTGGGTTGTCATAGAAGCTGAATGTCATGTGAACAGCAGGGTGGCATGATTCCTGTGTGTAGGCTGTGATGTAGTTTCTCTATTAATTCATGTCACAGAGGGAACTTCTGTTTTCTCATCAATATTAAACCTTCCCTGGAAATCTATGATTGATTGCTTGAGAGCTACAGCAGTAGAGCATAAAATTAATGATAGATGTTTTAAAGTACTCATCTATAAAAGTTGTTTTTCCACATTTCAGGAGGTGCTTTGTAAACAGACAAAAGTCCCAGAAGATGCCAGATCATTGTACCCCCCGGGACTTGTGAGCTGGTCAGAAAGCTATACCACACCCCCATAGTCACTGAGTTGATTCCAACCCAGTGAAACTATGGGATAGAGTAGAACTGCCCATAGTTTCGAGGGCTGTAATATTTATGGGGACAGAGAGCAATGTCTTCCACCTACTCAGTCCCTTGTAGGTTTGGGTTGCTCACCTGTTAGGTAGCAACCAAGTACTTTAAGCACTTTGTCACAAGCATTCCTTGTTCAGAAAGCTAGGCAGCATTACAATGCAGTGAGATATCTAAAACATCATATGAATTCTGGTTGTTCCACATCTTTGTCACTTTGCATTTTTATTTATTTTCTTCTAATTATTCTAAGGTGTTTGTGTTGCTTTCGCTGCTGGGTTTTAGAAAGTCTAGTCCAACTCACAGTGACCCCACGTGATAGAGTGGAGCTATCCCAATGGCTTTTCTAGCTTGCAGTCTACAGGAGGAGCCCTGGCGGTGCCACAGTTAAGTGCTCTGCTGCTAACCAAAAAGCATGCAGTTCGAACTCTCCTGCCAATCCAAGGGAGGAAGACGTCCTACAGAGCTGCTGCGAGTCAGATTCTACTACAAAATATGAGATTTTAAAAAGCTCCACAGGAGATAATCACCAGGTCTTTCTTCCACGGTTGGATGGTCTCAAACCTGGTATCTGAGTGCAAACCCATTGTGCCATCATGATGCCTTAGAGGGTAGACGTAGTCAGTGGTAAAAATATTTTGCTTTTAAATTGCTTTTCCCTGATGATAAATGGTTTTGAGCATTGTTTTCACATGTCCATATTGGCATTTGTACATAACTTATTTTGTGAAGTTTCTGTTCAGGTCCTTTGCACATTTTCCAATAAGGGTTCTGGATTTCTCAGTCCTGAATGTAAGCCTTCTTTATGGATTCTGTGTGCAGGGCATATAGAGTTTCCATATATATGTATACATAGGTAAAGATATAGTGTTTTCTCCTCTTTTTTGAAACAGTCTGTGTACGATTGGCATTATTTCTTTTTAGTAATTTGCAGAATTGAAAGAATGAAGCCATTGTGTCAAGAGTTTATTTCTGATAAGGATTTTAACTATAAACAAACACAATTTATTCAACTGATATGGGTGTATTTGGGTTTTCTATTTCTTTTACACACATATTTCATAATA